CTGCCTGCGACACTCACGCAAGTGAGGCTGTACGTGTTCATGGAGGCTTGCGCACCGGCTGGCCACTCATGTGGCCCGATGTCAATTAGGCCGTGGGCCGGTAGTAGGCCATGGCCCACAAGTTGGAGACCCTTGATGTCTAGGACTTTTCCCTCACAGCTTCTCTCTCTTTCTTGTGACTTTTCAAATTGTTCTGCATATTGACTGCACTTTATAAAGATTCTGTGTACACGGGCAGTCCTTGACTTACGACCCCAATGAAGCCCAACATTTCTGTTCTTAAGTGAGACATTTGTTAAGTGAGTTTTGCCTCATTTTACGACCTTTCTTGCCACAGTTGTTAAGTGAATCAGCGCGGTTGATCAGTTAGTACCACGATAGTTCAGTGAATCTGGCTTCTCCATTGATTTTGCTTGTCAGGAGGTTGCAAAAGGTGACCCCAGAACGCTGCAGCCGTCATAAGTATGACTCAGTTGCCAAGCATTTGTATTTTGATCACGGGGCTGCTACAAAGGCTGTAAGTGTGAAAAATGGCCCTAAGTCACTTTTTTCAGTGCCGTTGTAACGTTGAACGGTCAACTAAATGTACCGTTGTAAGTCGAGGATTACCCGTATTTGCAAGGAGCAGAACTTTTTAAGCTTACTCGTTTCTCTTTTTTCTCAAGACAATAATTACGTTATAATATACTTTGCTTCTCTGTGGCCTCTTCGGCACAAGCAGTACACACAATATACACTTTTTAATATATACTCGTGCACACACAATATACATTTTTCACCTGCAATCCTCTTGAAAGCCGTGTCCCCATCCGTCCCTCCAGGCCGAACTGCCAATTTAACTGAGTTCAATGCAGGGAAAGTGATAGCATGGAGAAAGGTTCACAGACTCACAGAAAAAGTTTGCAATTAATTTTGAATGGTTTGGTGAATCAACATCTGCCTTTCCTAAACTTGTGGCCACCCATTAGGTCACAGAAAGAGCTGCAGCGATATAAGCAACCCTTTTCAAATCAAAGGGCCCGTTCCTGAGCCCCGGAGAAGCTCCCTTTTTCAACCCCAAAGATCCGCTGGAGGATGGTTTTAAGGCAGAGGCCTCCAAATTTGGCAACTTTAAGACTTGTGGACTTCAACTCCCAGAATTCCACAAGTCTTAAAAGTTGCCAGGTTTGGGGACCCCTGGTTTAAGGACTGACAGTCTAAATCAGTTAAAAGACCTTTCTCTGCAAACTTTCCCTCAGAAACATCCCTTTGTTGCGTTAAGTGGATCTTACGCCAAGGCTGATATACGTTGTGTTTCCTCCTCCCTGCCTTCACCCCCCCCCATCCCCACCCTTTAGCTATTTTCTGTTTGGTGTAAAATCAGACCCAGCCACCTTCTCTGCTGCACCCTTCAGATAAGGCTGTTCTGAAAAGAAGACGCATAGACGTCAGCCGAAATTAGCAGCCCGGGTGGGGTGAGGTAGTTGGGAGGGAGGGGGGTGCCCAGCCATGCCTGAAAGGAGTGAAATAGGCCAAAGGAAGGAAGCTGCTCCTCCCCCCCCCTCCCAAAATACAAACTCGTAAATCACAAGAATGTACTTGGCCATGTGGGCATACACAGAGAGAGAGAGGGGGAGGGAGGGAGGGAGATTTACTCTCTTAAGTGTTTTGGGAAGTGCTCGATTTTTAACCTGGCCTGCAAAACCTTATAATCTGTCTCGAGAGACATTTTCAGGCCTGGATTGTGTTCATTAAGAGATGCTTAATACAAACCGATAATATTTAATCATTCTAAATGCAATGTAGTTCACTCGTCTCAACAATTTATGGGCAGTCCTCGACTTACGACAGCAATAGAGCCCCAGAATTCTCTTGCTGAGCAGATAACGGATAATCAGAGTTGGAAGGGACCTTATAGGTCATTTAGTCTAACCCCCCCCTGCTCAACCAGGAAGACCCTACACCATTTTCGACAAATGGCAGTCCAATCTCTTCTTGAAAGTCTCAAGTGATGACAGACATTTACTGAGTTTTGCCCTGTTTTTTACGCCCTTTCTTCTCACAGTTGTCCTGTGAGTTGGTTGTGGCAAATTGTCACAGACCCTAAAGAAAAGGGAGAATCAGGCCCGCCGAGACAGCACTTCCTTCAGCTCATTCCTACCTTCCCTCTTTTCAAGGTCCTAGCCCTCATGGAGTTTCTTCATCTGAGTCACAACTGGATCATTTAGGATAGGAGAATTATGCTGAGGTGGTTTTTCCATCCTCAGTTTTCTTTGAGGTACAGTATAGAGAATCGGCACATAAGGAAGAAAGTGAGACTTATATTCACTTTCCTTAAATGACTGTTTTGTAAAGTTGACCTCAACGCATGGCTAGTATAGCTCCAAACGGCCTTTCCAGAGCTTGGGACAGAGAATGGCAGTTTGTCAAGAATTAAAAACACGTAAGATTGGCACATTCTTTTGTTTTTAGGAGAATGGTGCGTCAAGAGGATTGAAAAAGCTCACTGCTCATGAACTTGGAAATCAGATGGATGTTAAAATCAGCCTATCCATTGCCAAGATTTTTGTAACCAGATCCCCTTTCCTTTCTATTAAATTGTTTTTTTGTTTTTTTTAAGAAAACCTTATTTATTTTTTTTATCATAAGGGGCTGCTCAGAGCTTAAATTAGACAGGAATGCTCAGCAGCGATTGCGTTTAACTTTGGAAGAGGAGCATTTTGCTTAGCTAGGTTTTTTTTAAAAAAAAACTCTCAGGTTACAAGATAAATCTCTCTAGTGCAGAGATGGGGAAGCTTGGCTCCTTTATGACTTGTGGACTTCAACTCCCAGAATTCCTGGCTGGCTCAGGAATTCTGGGAGTTGAAGTCCCCGAGTCATAAAAGGGCCATTGTTCCCCCCCCCCCTCAGTGATGGCAGACCAGCTGTGGAATCGTAGGACTCAAAGGGCTGAATCTAAAAACTCCCTCGGTTGTGTTATAGAAATATGCTTGCACTCCCTTCAGCTTCAAGCAGTTGTTCCTTCATGCCACCGAACGAGCAGAGCGTAACTGAATCATGTTTGAGTAGAGGAGCTATGACCTCATAAGCTCATTCATCCGGTTCCTTGGATCATTAAAACACCGTTTCTCCCAATGTTGGTTTAGCCACTGATTCCTTCGTCTCTCAGGCTTCGGAGAGGGACAAATGCACACTTAGGGGAAATGATGGATATTGTTTCCAGTGAAGAAAACCCTGAATCAGCCCTACATTTGCTCATTCCTTATTCTTTTCCTTCCTTCCCAGTAGAAGCCAATTGCATTGGAAGTCAGATTTCCTAAAGGTGCTTTTTCAAGAGGCAACTGGACTTTCTGGTTTTTCTTGGAAGACGGTTTAGCTTCTCATTCAAGAAGCTTCTTCAGAGAGCAAAGAGCTGAACAAGCTTCTTGGATGAGAGAAGTGAAACATCCTCAAGGAAAAATAAAGGAAGTCCAGTTGCCTGTTGAAAAAAACACCTTTGGGACAACCATGGCCTGGATGATTGGGAATCTCTATAGATATTCAGATTTCCTTGCGCACCAAAGCTAGTGTGGATCCGAAGAATGGAAATCTCTTAAATACTCCCCTCCCTCGGGATTTGTGTACAGGTAGTTCTTGATTTACAGCCACAATTGAATCCAAATTTTTGTTGTTAAGCAAGACGGTGGTTAAGTGAATTTCCCCCCATTTTATGACCTTTCTTGCCAATTGTTAAGTGAATCACTGCAGGAGTTACATTAGCAACATCGTTGTTAAGTGAATCTTGCTGCCCCATTGACTTTGCTTGTCAGAAGGTCGCAAAAGATGATTACATGGCCGTGGATCACTGCAACGGTCATAATAACTATGAACCAGTTACCAAGCGCTTGAATTTTGATCACGTGATCATGGGAATGCTACAAAGGTCATACAAAAGTGTGAAAAAGGACCATAAGTCACCTTTTTCAGTGCCATTGGAACTTTGAATGGTCACTAAGTGAGTTGTTGTGAGTTGAGGACTACCTGTAATTCTTTCTGCTCGCTATTAAGAAGGACACTTGGCTTGGCACGGAGATCAAGGCCGCAGCCTGTCTCAAGTAATTTTGATGGATTCGTTGCTGGTCACCCTCATTGCTTAAGAGCTGGGATCTCCAACCTTGGCAGCTTTGAGACTTGTGGACTTCAACTGCCAGAATTCCCCAGCCAGAATGGCTGGCTGAGGAATTCTGGGAGTTTGAAGTCCACAAGTCTTAAAGTTGCCAAGTTTGGAGACTTCTGCTTAAGATAATTAAAAACAGTATTTCACCCTCCTCTGTGCCCTTTAGTTGCTGCAACAGGAATATAAAAGAGGCATTGCCACATTCAACGCAGGGAAGATGCCTCTGCTTTAAATCATCCCAATCCTGGATCCTTAAATTGTTTTGTCCTGTGTGAGCCATTGATCCCAGTCGCTGAGGATGATGGGAGATGAAATCATAAATGTTAGGAGCAGCCCATGCCTGAGAAAGCATGTGGCAACTTCTTAGAAGAGGCATTCCATGTTCCTTTTGAACAGTTTCTTCTAAAAATCTTTAAAACACGCTATTTTTCTAAAGGTCCATGAAAAACCCGGCCTTTCTTGAAGAGGACAACTAATGGCCTACATTCTTGCAAGTGTGATATACAAAATTTTGTAGCTCAGCTTCTCCCTTATCTGGGCGTGCCAAGAAAATGAGGATTTCCTGTAATTTGCATGGTCGAGCAAAGTTCAAGCGATGAGATTTTTCTTCCAGAGCTCTGTTTCTGTGGAATGCTTCAGGGGTCTCCAACCTGGGCAACTTTTAAGACTTGTGAACTTCAACTCCCAGAATTCCTTAGCCAACAAAGCTGGGTGAGGAATTCTGGGAATTGAAGTCCACATGTCTTAAAATTGCTCAGGTTGGAGACCCCTGGAATGCTTCTTTTGTCCAAGGAGAAAAAAAAATCTCCCCATCTCCCTTTGGAACCTCCTTTCTTCTGATTTCACCTTGTGCTTTTCTTTGCAGACCTTGAAACGCAAAGAGAAAGAGTATGAGCATGAGATGGAGCGGCTGGCGAGAGAGAAAATTGCCACGCAGCAACGTTTGGCAGAGCTGAAGAATGAGTTGAGTCAGTGGATGGATGTCTTGGAAATTGACCGGATAATCCGCCAGACAGTTCAACCAGAAGATGATCAGGCATCCACTTCAACTGCTTCAGGTATGTTGGAATGTTTTGGTGCCATTTCATGGCACGATTCCATTTTGTGGCAAGATTAAAAATTAAAAATAAATAAAATATAAAAGGGAAAGAAAAAGGAAGGAAAAGAAAGAGGGAAGAAAGAGAGAAAGCAAGACGAAAGGAAAAGGAAGGAAGGAAGGAAGGAAATGTGCACTGCAAATAAAACTTGTATGTGCTGGAGAAATCATTTCAGTGGTGAGATGAATGGCATATAAATTAATTACATAAAAAGATGTTCTGTTACTCTAAGTAACACTACTACTGCATGAACTGCATTGCATTACCTATCATCTATCTATCATCTCTATCTAAGAGCTGTGGTGGCGCAGTGGTTAGAATGCAGTATTGTAGTCTAATTCTGCAGACTGCCAGGGGTTCGATCCTCACTGGCTCAAGGTTGACTCAGCCTTCCAGCCTTCCGAGGTGGGTAAAATGAAGACCCAGATTGTTGGGGGCAAGAAGTAAAACCTTTTAGAGAGGGCTGTAAAGCACTGTAAAGTGGTATGTAAGTTTTGCTGTTCATCCATCCATCATCCATCCATGCACCTACAGTATCATCTATATATCATTAACATCTATCTCTATTTCTCTATCTAATGTATCTATATCTATCTATATATCATCTATCTCTATCAGCTATTTACATCTATCTACACCTGTCATCTATCAGCTGTCATCTATCGTCTATCTATCTATCATCTATCTCTATCTATCTATCTATCTATCTATCTATCTATCTATCTATCTATCTATCTATCTATCTATCTATCATCTATCTATCTCTATTAAATTTCTACCCATCGCATCAAAGTGACTCTGGGCAGTTTACAACATGTGCCAGAGGAAATAGCGATTTCAGTGGTCAGATGACCTGATTTGGCCTCCTGTGGGTTCCCACCTTTTCCCTTGCCCAGAATTTGACATCTGCCTTTGTTTTATCTCCCCGCAGAAGGAGAAGACAATATGGATGAGGACATGGAAGACAACAGCCCTGTCAATTCGTTGCCGAAGCTCACGCACCGCCAGCATCCCGAGCTCTTGAAAGCAGTGGCCCCCATCGCTGCTGCCCATCGCCCATCGGTTCTGCCGCTGGCCCAGAAGCACGTCCCACCCCATGTCCCACCCCCCCTCCAGCCCCAGGCCCTGGTTCAGCCCCAAGCGATTGTCCCTGCACAGACTCACCTCGTGGCGGCTTCCACCGTGCAATCGACTGTTATCGCCCACACGGCCACTACCCACGCCTCCGTCATTCAGACTGTCAACCATGTCCTCCCGGGCCCCCAGCCCAAGCACATTGCCCACCTCGCACCCTCGTCCACCTCCAGCCCAGTCCAGCTGACGACCACGGCTCAGCCCATCGGCCACATCACTGTGCACCCGGCCGCCCTCAACCACGTAACCCACCTGGGTCAGCAGCTCCCCCTGTACCCGCAGCCCGTGGCGGTCAGCCAGCCCGTGGTGGGCCACATTGCGCACGCCATCTCTCACCAGCAAGTGAATGGAACTGCCAGCCTTGGCCAGCCAGCGGTCATGGCGAAGCCCGGCGTTGGAACTCAAGTTATCCACCACCAACAGCTGGTGGGCCAAACAGTCTTGAACCCCGTCACCATGGTTACCATGCCCCCTTTTCCCGTAAGCACCTTGAAGCTGGCGTAGAATCAGCTGCAAAACAACTGGATAAAACTCCATACATTCCAACTGCCCCGTGGCAGAGAAGTTAGGAGTGAGAGAGGGTTGGAGGCACTGACCCTCCAGCGAGAAGATGGCGCAAGAGAGAGAGAGAGGGCTGCGGGACAGGCAGAGATAACCTTTCCTCCCTCCACCTGTCCCTTCCCCAGTTTTTTTTTTTTTCTTCCTGTTTTGATTTCTCTCAAGAAACTCGGTCATGGGAGGGAGGGCGTGGGGTGGGTGGGGAGTAGAAAAACCCATAAGGGCTGCTTCTGCACTTGAATTTTCCCTAATCAGAGAGAAAAATAAATAAATCAATAAACTGTCCTTCACAGTGATTTTTTTTTTTCTTTTGACATGTAATCAGTGAAATAAGACTGTAATAAAGTTCTTAAGACATTGACTTTTCCTTTCAACCACCCCAGCCGTCACGACCGTTTTTTTTTAAAAAAAACTTCCATTATTTTATTTTATTTTTTGATGTGTTGCTTCTTCATAGTTCCTTTTTTTAATGGCTGATCTCTTTTATTAAGACTTTGCATAGAGGAAAAAGAAAAAGAAATCATAGAAAATATATATATATATATTTATATATATATATCTACCTGCATATAGCTACATATGTATAAAAATATGAACACCATCGATGGGAAAATCCTTTTGTTTCCAGGAATAATGGACACATGGTCAACATCACTCCTCCTGCTTTGAAAGGAGAGAAGAGATAGCATCCTTTCTTTTTTTTTAAAGCATCTTGAAAAGATAAAGATGGTTTTGTGGACCAGGGTATTTAAAAAAAAAAAAGGCAAAACACATTACTCCTTTCCCAACTCCTCATTATATTTACATTTCAGTAAAATCATCCATAATCACTGTGACTTGTTATGGCATTTTAAGGATACCCTCTGTCTAATAAAAAGGTAAAAAAATGAGGTTGCACACCCGTGGAATTTGTGATTTATTGTAATGTTCAAACCTCCTGATCAATTGATTTTTTTAAAAAATTCGTTTTCTTACCTGCTTTTATGCCTGATTTGGGGTTTGATTCTGGGTCTTTGAACATCTAATGGTTCCTGCATGGCATGGATCCAACCTGTGGCTTGGATCCAGATAGAAATGAAAACTCAAAAAAAAAAAAAAAAGGTCTTGTGATCTGAAGAGCAGGGAGCAAGTCATAATTCTCTCTGTTGAAATGCATAATTCATCCATAGCTCCTTGCTCTTAAGTTTTATTCCATCTTTTAAGTGGTACGAAGTTGGTAGTTAACACGGAGGGTTTGTGTGAGGGTAGTGAAATGTTGGAGCCTCCAAATCTTGAAGTGACTTTAAGAATAAGCTTTAGGGATTTTTTTTTTATTTTTTTTTACTTGCACATTTTATTTCTTGTTAGATGTTCAGGGAAATGAAATGTTCAGAGTAGCATGCAAAGCACACCGCTGGATTTTATCAAGCAAAATTACTGTTAGCTCATTGGCAGTTCTGGGTTGCATCAACCCAGCTGGAGAACTTTGAAGTACACTTGGGTGGATCAAAGTGATCTGGTTAATTCAGTAAACCGTGATTAAAATAAACAATGCTGTAGCGTTAAACAAGCAACTGAGAAGAGGCTGTTGTGTGCATACTTTCCATGGTTTGCCTAGGAGAGAAATTCCTCTGTGAATTAGCTGTGCTTGATAGAAAAAGGGAAGAAAAACTTATTTTCATGCTTGACTAAGCTGCTTGCCAGTACCCAGGATTATGCTGACATTAATTCTTTGAGATTTTAGATGGGGTTCTTTCTAATCAAAATGAAAGCCACCAAAAGCTAACAGCCAGAGATCACCTATTTTAACCGATCCTCTGCTACTAGGATTTGCTAAGCCTACCCCAAAACTACATCCCTTTGGCCTGCCTAGAATTGTATTGCTGGGGCAAAAGTAACACAGACTAGGTAAAAGAGACAGGAAAACTTTTATCTGTTGAGGTGGGTGAAAATTTATAATTCCCATCTTTGGGGACCAATCATCTCTTGCCATAAGCTAGTGCTGACCATTGCATTCATTCTGGATGAAAAAAAAATACTAAGATGCCCAACACATATGTATTTAGTTTCAGTTGATAAACCCCCTAACAGCAGCATTCACACCACAATCTTGATGAAAGATGTAACAATTGCATTTATTCCACATGCTTCAATTGTGGTATAGGAGGGTTGGGTTTGGGGGACTCAAATGTAGCTTGCAAAACCAAAGGGGCTCTTACGGATGATGTGTGAACCCAGCCTAAAGGATTCAATTGGTTTGCCTGTGTTTTTACATAGTTTGGGTCTGTTTTCTTGTTGACTTGTAGTTTAACAATCTGCCAAGAATAAATCCAGCAGAATGGTCAATCTCAATCATTCTGTATTTAGGTGCTATACTGAATCTGTCATGGGCTCCAGTAAGCAGGAGTTTCTAGTGGAATCCATTGCTGTATCCAAAGTGGCTTTTTCAAATTTTAAGTGTGCTTAGCATGGCTGACATAATTACAACAGAAGAGTGTTGCAATTCCTTTTTCTTCTGTTTTAACTAGCAGGTTCCCAGGCAGTGAAACACTAATAATCCATGTTAGAAAATGTTTCTTTTTGTTTTGGGAAAATGTTCCTAGAAGCTAGAGTCTGAATGAATGACACTTATGACAAATGCATAGGATTCTAACACACAGGTAGTCTTTGCTTAGCGACTGCCTCATTTACTGACCATTCAAGAGCCACGTTGGCGCAGTGGTTAAGAATGCAGTACTGCAGGCTACTTCTGCTGACTGCCAGCTGCTTGCAATTTGGCAGTTCGAATCTCACCAGGCTCAAGGTTGACTCAGCCTTCCATCCTTCTGAGGTGGGTAAAATGAGGACCCAGATTGTTGGGGGCAATATGCTGACTCTGTAAACCACTTGGACAGGGCTGTAAATCGCTGTAAAGCACTAAATAAGTCTTAAGTGCTATTGCTATTCACGGTTCCACCAGGGATGAAAAGGTAACTTTCCAATCCTTGTTTTTATGACCTTCGTAGGCCTGTAAACAGGAAAGCACAGTCACCATTTCACTTAGTGCTTCACATAATCAAATTGCAAGCTCCAATTGTGGTTGCTAAACAAGGACTCCCTGTATTTAAATATCTCCCATTTGACTTCCTGCCTAGTTGAATATTTTGGGATGTCCTAGGAAATTCTTTAAAGAGAAGGTTCTTACATAAAACAGCACCCACATCCAGAGATAAGACTGCACCAGCTTTGGATGCTGGCACAGTTGTAAAATTATTTCCTAAGAAAGGCCTTTTTATCCTTAATCCCAAGACTCTGGCTCAGTTGAGACCACAAAGCCCCTGCTACATTTTTAAGAATCTTGAGGTGCATATAGCCCAATTTGGCAATGCAAAATACAAGTGTTGATGCTTTCTGGCTATGCGAATGGGCTGGAAAAGTGGAACGTTCTGAAATGCGTTTGCCTAAAAGAGAGACCAGGGCTGGTTGAAACTCTGATTTTAAAAAATCCCCCTCAATTACTGCGTTTGCAAGAGAATAGCCTGCCACCTTCCGCTGACATTTAAAGGGACTGGCGTGCATTGAGGTAACTCAACAACAGGATTTTCCAACGGACTCCCTTTTTCTCAGCCAACAGTTGATCTGTGCCTCTCCTACAGAAAACCTGTTCTGAGTCCCTCCATCTCAGCCTTCCAGCGCAATTGGACAGATTGGACAGATGAGCCTTTTAGGGGGTGGAGAGATATTAGTGTCCATCTTAGGATATACCTACTTGGAGAGTGCTGGAGGAGTTTGCTGATTGAGGACGTTAGGAACATCCACCTGAATTATCAGCGAGTGTGGATAATTGGCAAATGTGGTTTGTCCCAAGACTAGCCTGAAATGAGCAGACCACTGATCATGGCTTGTACTTTGCATTCTGTATCTGGATTGGGGGGGAGACTGCCAACTGCCCCCACAACACTGTATTTTTATCCTGCCTTGATTATAATTCAAGCCTGAAGGCATAACCTAATTCTTCTGCTTCCTGTGCCCTCCCCAACAACCACTTGTTGTCTCCAGAAGTTGTTGGTGCTCCAACACTGAAGGATTTTAAGAAGAGACTGGACAGCCACTTGTCCTGAATTGTATAGGATCTCCTCCTAGATCTACACTAAAGGGTTGGACTAGAAGACCTGCAAGGACCCTTCCAACTTTGTTAATTCTCTCTGTGAGGGGGATTGGGCTGAGATGGAGTGATTGGCCCCAAAGTCACCCAAGTGGCTTTCATGTCTAAGGCAAGTCTAGAAATCACAGACTCCTGGTTTCTAAACCAGTTCCTTAATCTAAAGTTTCTCAACTTTGGCAATTTTAAGATGTGTGGACTTCAACTCCCAGAATTCCTCAGCCATCATGGCTGGCTGGGGAATTCTGGGAACTGAAGTTCAGGCAGCTTAAATTAGCCAAGTTTGAGACTTAACCTGCCTTAACCACCACACCAAACTGTTTCACCAAATTGATGTCTCTGAAAACACATGGGTGATTTTTTTGGCCCCAAAATATAATCCAGAATGAGGATTTGTGTGTGCACTCAAAAAGTAGCCACCTTTTCTTGCTTGTTAAAGATTTAGAATGTATCTCAGCATCTTTTGATCCTGCAATACATGATTGCATTTACAAGAAAGCAGTTTATTATTTAAGATTTTTTTTTATTTTTTAAAAAATGGTTGAAAAAATAATTAGAAAAGGAAAAAAAAGTTGGAACCACCTGAATAAGTTTTCCTCAAAATTCTGGGCAGCTGGGTGGTCTAGGATCAAGCCTGGTGATAAGATAGGTGCTTGTGTTCTGTAAAATACATCTTTCAATTGATCTGGATTTGTACTGAATATTACAGAAATATTTGATCCTTGATCTGTTGACCTGTTTTTCTGGAGATACTGACTTATGATTGGCAGACTCATGACAACCTGACACTCTGCTGGTTGTTGTTTTTTCTGAATCAAACAGGAAACAAAGAGCACTGCATAGCCATTAAAAAAAGTTTTGTTGACAATATGTATTTTTTCTTCTTCTTTATACATATGTTTGCACTTGAGATAAATTCTTGAGCAATAAAGAAAATATTTTTGCTCTGGACAAAAATAAATAAGGCAAATACACAATATTCATAAAATACCATTATGCGGAACATTATAATAAACAGTACAACAAAGTTTGCACAGTTAAATTATTTTTTGTTTGGTTGTGAGGTGTTCTTTTTTTTGTTTTGTTTTTGTCTTTATATAGTAAAGTGTACCATATGATACATTCTCCAAAAAAGTAGTGCAGAGTTTTCCTTGTTTAAAACATTGATCCCTCAATAATAAGGGTGGCTGGGAGAGGGTTAAGATTTCACTTTGCTATCCAGAGCAAGGGTCTCCAACTTTGGCAGCTGGCTGAGGAATTCTGGGAGTTGAAGTCCACACGTCTTAAAGTTGCCAAGGTTGGAGACCCCTGATCCAAAGAAAATATGCACAAAGGAGAAAGCATTTTCCTCTGCCATGAAACTGTCCAGCAGAACCATGCATGGGTCAAACACTTTGCACACACACACACAAAAATAAAACGAGCAGGGCCAAGGGACTGCGTGCGTGCGTGCATGCCACTACCACCACCAAAAAAATACTTGTTTTTTTGCATTCCAAGGAAAGAAACAACAAAAGAGTTATTACATTGGACAGAAGTTGTTGGCACTTTAGAGCTATGTCAAACTCCCCTTTCCGTGGCTGTCGCTTCAGCTTGGAAGCTGTTGGGAGTGTAGCCACAAATACAGACTTGGTTAAAGGCAAGTGGATAAATAAAGACATGCTGGATGCATAAAAATTTTACATGGGGACAGATTCACAAAACAAAATGAAAAACAGACAGGGGCATCCTCCAATGGGCACTATAGAGCGACCGGTCTCTCAAATCCAGCTAATTCAACCTTCTTTTGGATTCCTAGCAAAAAATCAAGACTCTAGCCCTCAAGATTGTGCAGAAACATACAAGGGTTTTCCCCTGTTCCCCACTTTTTGATCAGTCACTGCTGGAACTCAGCTTTGGAATGACTGATCAAATATACAAACAGAGCAATCTCAATCTAACAAGTTTTTTTTCATGACTGTGTAAGCTGTGAGCTACTAGCTTGATAAGAGTAGGGGGTTCCTTACTCCTAAATCTGGTACAATTTTGGGCAAATCTACAGGATATCCTTCCTATAGTCAACTGAAGAGCTTCCTTTGGAAACCTAGACAAACATTTTGCAAAATTATAGCAATGGTAAAATTTGGAAGAACTCTTTGCTCTACACACTTGCTTACCAACCCCAGGGCAAGAGGCAATTTCGAACACGACAAAACTGGAACAAATGGGAGAATTAAAACATACACAAGAATGATTTTTTGGCCCTGAAATGAGTCCAAGAATGAGGACTTGTTTGTGCACACTCAAAACTCAGCTTTATATATTTTTTTTCCTTGCTTGTTAAAGGCTTAGAAATATCTTGAATGTTTACTTCATTACATGGAAGATGCTGTTAAAACATTGTTTGAAGTGACAAGTGCAGGAAAATCCCCACTCCCCTCCCTCCCCCTTTTCAAAAGCTTTTTGCAGTGATGCTAAAACTTCACGTTCTCCCAGCAGCTCCGACTTTCATTTATTCTCAATCAGCGTCTGGACCTTGCAGACTAAATCTCTTGCTATCTTCAGAATCTCTTGGGCATTGTGATGTTCGGCCATCTCTGCACACAAAATAGCAAAGGCATTGGGGAAAAGATTAGCAACAGCAAAGGCTACAAGATTATCTTAAGGCTCACCCAATGTGCATTTAAATTTTGATAAGGGGCAGAAACTTGACCAATCTCAGCCACTGTCCACATTTTTATCAGATCATGAAGGGGGCTGAATATTGCTGGTTTAAGAAGACCCCCCCCCACCAGAAATTCTATTCAACCCCTTTGAAGCAATGTTTTACAGTTAGGTAGGACAAAGGAACAAGAACAGATTAGGCGAAATCCAACTCAAAAACAGTAACTGTGAGAGGGGCCTTGGAGTCCTAGCGGACAATCACTTAAATGTGAGTCAATAGTATGCGGCGGCAGCCAGAAAAACGAATACAATCCTTGGTTGTATAAGGGATAGAATCAAAATGTGAAGTATTTTGGAGCATAAAACTTTAGTAAGACTACACATGGAAAACCGCATCCAGTTTAATCCAGAGGAATTATTGAGTCTATCATCTGCACTTCTATAATTGTCTGGTTTGGGTCTGCAACCCAACAGGACAGACAGACTTCAGAGGATAATTAGGACTGCAGAAAAAACAATTACTACCAACCTACCTTCCATCGAGGACCTGCAGGAGTCAAAAAGAGGGCTGTGAAAATATTTACAGACCCCTCACATCCCGGACATAAACTCTTTCAACTCCTACCCTCAAAACGACGCTATAGACTTGCACACCAGAACAACTAGACATAAGGACAGTTTTTCCCCGAAAGCCATCACTCTGCTAAACAAATAATTCCCTCAACACTGTCCAACCATTTACAAAGTCTGCACTACTATTACTGTTAATCTTCTCATCACTCCTTATCACCCATCCCCTCCCACTTATGACTGTAACTTTGCAGCTTGTATCCTTACAATTTATATTGACTGTTTCCTAGTATGACTTGAATGCTTATTGTACCCTAGGACTATCATTAAGTGTTATACCTTATGATTCTTGACTCTTGACGAATGTATCTTTTCTTTTATGTATACTGAGAGCATTTGCACCAAGACAAATTCCTTGTGTGTCCAATCACACTTGGCCAATAAAGAATTCTATCCTGTTTTGCTCACATTACAAAAAAGATGTTGACACTTTGGAAAAAATACAGAGAAGAGCAACTAAGACGATTAAAGGCCTGAAGACAAAAAAATATGAAGAACAGTTGCAAGAATTGGATATAGCTAGTTTAGAGGAAAGAAGGTGGACATGATAGCAGTGTTCCAGTATTTCAGAGGCTGCTGCCACAAAGTGGAGCGGGTCAACTTATTTTCCAAAGCACCAGAAGGCAAGGCAAGAAATAATGGATGGAAACTAACCAAGGAGAGAAGCAACCTGGTATTAAAGAGAAACTTCCTAAAAGTGAGAATAATTAATCAGTGGAAAAGTATGTATTTTCGGTTGTGGTACCCAGGGTCATGTGATCACCATTTGCAACCTTCACAGCAGCCTTTGAACAATGAGGGAAACTGGATTTGTTCAACAAAGGCCTGATTAATTTAAGTGCAGTGATTTGCTTACAAGCAGGCAAAAAAAAAATACGTAAAATGGATTGCTACTCAACAACTGTCTTCCTTAGCAATCTGGACCAATTGTGGTCGTAAATTGAGGACTATCTGCCACTGTTCCTTCTATCTCCTACATTTCAGCATAAATGTCAGTTAGTAAGTGAAACATGCGGACGTTAAGCAAATCTGGTTTTCCCCAGATGCTTTCAAAAGCCAACTGGGAAGGTTACAAATTATCACTTGTTCTTAGGACATTGCAACTGTCATAAATACGTCGGTTGCCAGGCGCCCAAATTGTGAGCATGTGGCCATGGGAATGCTGCAACAGTTGTAAGTATGAAAACCGACCATAAGTCACTTTTTCAGCAACATTGTAACTTTGAACAGTGACTAAGCAAATAAGTCGAGGACTATCTGCAAATGGGGAATTAACCCTCTCACTAATAAAAAATGGACAGAATCTTGTTCAGTTCTTATTTCCTTACCGTTAAAAAACTTGATGATGTCAGTGAAGTCCATGTTGTTATCGCGGATAATCTCTCGATAAGACTCCACTAGTGCTAAGGCAATGAAAAGGACAAAATGTTCGGAAGAGATGTGCTTCGCTGCCCAGATAACTTCCCACACTGTAAATACATCCTCGTACAACAATTCTGAATGGAACAGACATTAGAAAGAGCATGGAATTACTTCAGCGCATCACAATCAAAATGGACGAAAAGATTTCACCCCATAGAGTCTCTAAAATGGCAAGTTTTAAGATTTTGTGGACTTCAACTCCCAGAATTCCCCAGCCATCATGGGGGAATTCTACAGTGCCCTACGTCATGCCCTTGTTGGAGTGGAGTGGGAGTGTGGCTCCGGTGGCTGTGGAAAAAACGGGGGAAGGGCACAGTCCGGCTGTGCATTCAGAGGAAGACCCAGGGCCACCCCCTCTTCATCCTAGGGCACGCTGGGAGGAACGGAGAAGGGAGCAACATGGCTTATGGGAGAGAAAAAGGCCTTGACCCCTTTCATTAGTTGCAGCTGGGAGAACAGCGTGCATTAGTTGCAGCTGGAAGCAAAGCGTGCATTATTTTTGTCAAGGCTTATCTGAGTTTTGACGTCCTCCCAACTGTGTGTGCTTCATTATCTTTTGGAAGTCTGCAATTTATTATCCTGGCTTGTTGTGTTAATTACTTCAGCATGGTTTGTGTTGGTTTTTTTATTTCTAATTTATCTGTACTTTGGGTTCGGATTGCATTTCTTCCCTTTGTAGACTGTTTTTGGAAGAGTTTGATCTCCAGCCGAGGATAACTGGACATTGGGGGCCAAGTTGGAGGTATTAAAGGGAATTTACCCATTTTTGTGACTTTGTTATTTTTGTGCCACGGCCTGGGTCATCACACCTAGGAAAAAAAATTCCTTACCTCTTTTAAAATCTAGCAGGAACCACCGGTAGCAGAAGTAGAAGTGCGTATAATCTCCATTCTGGTGCATCAATTCAAAGAGCTCAGAATCTAAAATCTTTTTTGACACACACAGAAAAAAAAAAAATACATGCTGTGAGGTACTTATACATTTTTTGGTATACGCAATCATGTCAAATACAATTTTATGAAGAATCTAGAATGCTCTCTTTCCTTCAATCATCCTCCTTCTCCCATATTGTCCATCTTTTTTTTTTTAACCTCCTGCAAGAATTCCGATTAAGGGGGAAGAGATAGAAATACCGTATGGTACTAGGAAAATCAGTACTGGTAGTCCTTGACTTGTAACCATTCATTTAGTGACCGCTGAAAGTTACAACGGCGCTGAAAAAAAAAGTTACTTATGCCTAGGTTTCACACTTATGACCGATACAGCATCCTCAAGCTCGTAGCGATCAAAATTCACGCACTTGGTTGTACTGTCCCAGAGTCATGTGATCTCCATTCGCAACCTTCCCAGATGACTTCTGACGAGTAAAGACAATGGTGGGAGCTGGATTCACTTAACAACCCTGAGATTCATTTAACAACTGCAGTGATTTGCTTAACAACCATGGCAAAAAAAAAAGTGTAAAATCAGGTGCTATTCACTTAATAGGGAGTAGAAAGTCTGCTTCCTATGGTGATTGTGAGGATTACCAGTTCGTATCTGCCTTTAATCGGTTTAAATTAAATGGGCTAATCATTAAAGGTGTTTATTATTAAAGATGCAGTGGTCGAGGTGTTGGACTAGACCAGGGGTGTCCAACCTTGGCAACTTTAAGACTTGTGGACTTCAACTGCCAGAATTCCTCAGCCAGCAAAGCTGGCTGAGGAACTCTGGGAGTTGAAGTCCACAAGTCTTAAAGTTGCCAAGGTTGGACACCCCTGGACTAGACACTGGATGAATGTGGGTTGTAGTCTTCCTCTGGGTATAAAGGTAGGCAGGGTGATTATGGACCAGTTCCTCCCTCTCTCCCAGACCAACTCACACCACGGGTTTGTTGTTGCAGAGAAAAGAGGAGGCCACTGCATTAGGTGTGACACCTGGAGTTCTAGAAAAGAGGATGGATCTATATTCTCTTCTTAATTATTGTTAGCTGCTCAGAGTTAAGTACAGGCAGCAAGTTTTGTCCCATTGTACGACATTTCTTGCCCCAGTTGTTAAGTAAATCATTGTATTTGTCATGTTAGTAACGTTTGTTAAGGGAATCTGGATTCCCCATTGACTTAGCTTGTCAGGAGGTCACAAAAGCCGATCTCATGACGCCCTCCCCCCCAGGACACTGAAACCGTCATAAATATGAACCAGCTGTCCAACATCTGAATTTTGATCGTGTGAAAATGGGGATGCTCCAACGGTTGTAACCCTAACCCTTTTCCAATCTAAGGTTTTCAAGTTAGTCAACTATAAACTCCTGACTTAAAGGGAATTTTGCTGGGAACCTCCTTTCTCCTCTTCCCACATCTTCTGGTACAGGGATCTCCAAACTTGGCAACTTTAAGACTTGTGGACTTCAACTCCCAGAATTCCCCAGCCAGCTGAGGAATTCTGAGAGTTGAAGTCCATTAAGTCTTAAAAGTTGCCAGGATTTGGAGACCCCTGTTCTAGTAGATAAGAGCAACATATGGTCCGTTCTGCTTCCCATTACAGCAGAAAGAAACAAGCTACTGTGTTTTTCCTGAAAATAAGACCCTGTCTTGTATTTTTTCTGCCACCAAAAAAAGGCACCAGGTCTTATTTTCAAGGGGGATGTCATCTACTGACTCACCTCACTTATGCGCGTTGTCCCCGGCCGCCTTTTCACTGTCAGAGGCCTTCAAAAACTTATTTGGATAGTTGCAACCAGGTCTCGCACACCTCGGCCCATTTCTTCATCCAGCAAGGCCTCTACAGCCCGGAGCTCTGTTATTGGCTACAGAGGCCTTCAGGAAAAACTTGCCGGCTGCAGAAGAAATGGGCCGAGGTGTGCAAGACTGGCTGAAACTGTCCGAAGATAAGTAGCAAGGAAGCTCCACCCCCTCATCCCCACTCTAGCTTAATGTTTACCTATGCACCCTGGAGTGGGCAGGGTCTTAATTAGGGCTTATTTTGGCGGGTAGGGCTTATATTGGGCGCACATGTAAAAATCAAGTTAGGACTTACTTTCTGAGTAGGTCGTATTTTCGGGGGGGGGGGGGAATGGTATGTGTGGCTCAGAATCCAGATATTATTTACCAAAGCATTTAATGGGCATAAAGTGTGAGGTACAGTTGATTTATTGTTGACCTTGTCCTTTTTCTGGGTGGGGGAAAAGATATTATTGCAATTACACATTTTATTTACGATTACAATAACTTCTATCTGCCCGATAGTCAAAGCATCCTGTGATGTATTTGGTTTTATTCTTTACTTTTGTATTGCTTTGAGGCTTGGCTAAAATTCCGAGCTTCTGAAAGATGACAAGAAGAGCTAAAAAAAAAAAATCTTTTAAATACACATACCGAAATAAAACCCACCTGGATAAGAGACCTCATGTTTGCAAAATGTGTGTCCATGGCACCTCCGTTGGGGAAATTTTGGCTCATTCGCTTCATGAGATGAGTAAAGCAGCTGTAAGCCAGCTCATCTAAAACCAGGCAAAGGAAGGCGTTAGCTCCACCGATTCTCAATAATTGCATGAAGAAACCAATATTTATTATCTGCTTTTTAACCAGCAAGCAGCGCCCAGGACATTGAACAACACAAAGGAGGAAACTGTTCCAGGCCAGTCTTGAAGTAGCATGCTGAGGACAACACTCCAAATCATAATGGAAGGAACCAGAACATTAGAATAGAATAGAATAGAATAGAATAGAATAGAATAGAATAGAATAGAATAGAATAGAATAGAATAGAATAGAATGAGCTGGAAGGGACTTTTGGAGGTCTCCTAGTCCAGCCCCCTGCTCAAGCAGGAGAACCTACACTATTTCAGATAAGTGACTGTCTCTAGTCTCTTCTTAAAAACCTCCAGTGATGGTGCGCCCACGATGTCTGGTGGGAAGCTGTTCCACTGGTTAATTGTCCTCCCTGTTAGGAAGTTTCTGCTTAATTCCAAGTTGCTTCACTCCTTGATTAGCTTCCATCCATTGTTTCTTATCCTGCCCTCTGATGCTTTGGAGAATAATTTGACCCCCTCTTCATTGTGGCAGCCCCTCAAATACTGGAACACTGCTATTAATTATTACAGGTAGTCTCAACTTACAACAGTTTGTTTAATTACCGTTCAAAGTTATAATGGCCCTGAAAAAAAGTGAACGATGACCTTTTTTCACACAACCGTTGCGGCATCCCCAGGGTCACGTGATCAAAATTCAGGCGCTTGGCAACTGACTCATATTTATGACCGTTGCGCTGTCCTGGAGTCATGAGACCTTCCAACAAGCAAAGTCAATGGGGAAGCCAGGTTCACTTAACAACCGGGTTACTAATTTAACAACTGATTACAGATCATCAGAATTGGAAAGGACCTTGTAGGTTATCTAGTCCAACCCCCCGCCCAAGCGGGAGACCCTACACCACTTCTGACAAATGGCAGTCCAATCTCTTCTTGAAAGTCTCAACTGATGGCGCTCCCACAACTTCCGAGGGCAAGTTCTGTTCCAGGGATTGGAACTGCAGGGATTCACTCAACAACAGTGGCAAGAAAGGATGTAAAATGGGACAAAAGTCATTTAACAAATGTCTCCCTTAGCAACAGAAATGTTGGCGCTCAGTTGTGGTCGTAAGTCAAGGACGCCCTGTACTGCAAGTGGAAAGTAATCACATCATCCCATGTTTTATAGTTTCCTTTTTGCTCATACTGAAAATGACATGCAATCATTTGAAGATTTCTGGGAGCCAATGCCAATGGGTTTGGAAGGCTTCAGGTTGGTGGATTGGCCAGTTCATCACTAAACTAGCACTGATTAGGCTACCTAGTTTGGTAATGAAAGGATCCCGGAATTCAACCCTGAGCTACAAATATTCTCTTTGATCAGATGAATGGATGTTAGTTAGAACTCTCAATCAATCAATCAATCAATCAAAACAGGTCAATGCAACGTGCTTCCTTCTCAGATGAACTTGCAGAGGGAGGGGGGATTTAGGAGAGAGTGATGGGGGGGGGGGTCGGGATCGGCCTGAGAGAAGTTGAAGCCCAAGGAAAATCTCTAGTGATAGATTTCAGATTATCGATTTAGTACTGTATTAGGGTAGGAAGGAAAGTGTGACAGCCTATAGATAAATTGTAATATTAAGGGAGCCTATTTACAACCCATCTTAAATTATTTAAGAAAAAATAAATCAATGGAATAGGTTGCCTCCCAGAGTGGTGGGTGCTCCATCACTGGAGGTTTTCCAAAATAGACCAGACAACCATTTGACCGGAATGGTATAAAGTCTCTTGCCTTGAGAGGGGGCTGGACTAGAAGACTTCAGAGGTCCCTTCCAGCTCTATGATTGTATATTCATCACCCATCGTTCCTTTCTTTCTCCCTAGTAATCAATATGATGTACCCTGTCAGAGTGCACACAGTGTGACTATGTGAGACAATCCAGGAGCAAATACAGTAAACAGAGGTTTGTATTTTAAATAGTGGTTTTATCTACAAAGAATATATACTTACAGATACTTTAGTCAGACCTCAAAACAAACAGCAATCGACCATTATAGCACGGAAGCACACACGGAGAGAGAGATACACCCCAACGGCCTCTTTTTATTACAGGCTCTTAAAGTGCCCAAAACCCTTGCTGACTCATTCCCAGCATTACATCATCATAGCAGCTGGTCAGCTCTTAAATCATCCTCCTGACATATCCACTGAGCATGCTCAGTCCATCTGGGGCTCCTTTTAAAAGTGGGAGGCTGGCCCAGTTTTTCTGCCTAGGGTTTTGTAAATTTACAGTTCTTCTGAGCCCACAGATACATCTCCAGTGATTTCAGGATGTACTGAGAAATGAAAAGGTTGTTTGTATATGTATATGATATTATGGACAGGCTGACATAAAAACATAAAGTCTATGTAAAAACTAAGGGCTGCACAATGTTGAAATACTAAGATTTAAAAGCCGACCAGCAGCAGTAATAGCTGCCAGATGTGGCTGATGAAACGAAGGTGATTCAGCATAGCATGGGTATTTCCCTTTAACATTGGGGATGGGTTCTATCCCTTTAAGAGATATGTATGTATGTATGTATGTATGTATGTATGTATGTATTTATGTATGTATATCTATCTATATATCTATATCTATCTATCTATCTATCTATCTATCTATCTATCTATCTATCTATCTATCTATCTATCTATCTATGTTTTCTGAGGTTTTCGCGGGTGTTTGTATGTGAATCTTTGGTTATTCGGGTTTTCTCCCGCATAAAATTGGAAGTATCTAGGCGACGTTTCGATGAAGTCTCATTCATCATCTTCAGGCTTGTGTCTTCGGCTTTGTGCTTCTCGGAGTAATGTGAGCTTGCAGCTGCTTCTTCCTTTTAACTGCTAGTGGGGGTGTGACTTGATTGGCCCCCACCCAATCAAGTCACACCCCCACTAGCAGTTAAAAGGAAGAAGTAGCTGTAAGCTCACATTACTCCGAGACGTCGCCTAGATACTTCCAATTTTAGGCGGGAGAAAACCCGAATAACCAAAGATATATTGTGTCCAGTATTCATTGCAGAGTTCTCCGTGTAGTTCAGAAGAAGTTTGCTTGAAAGATATTTTGCCTACTGCATGTATTTTCTGTACATATCTGTTGTAGATAAACCACTGTTAAATGTATAAGTCTCTGTGTGCTCTATGCAGCCAAAAAAGCTAATGCAATCCTAAACTGCATTAACAGAGGGATACAATCAAGATCAAGTGAAGTACTAATACCATTCTATAAAGCCTTAGTAAGACCACATCTAAAAGTACCGCATCCAGTTTTGGTCACCACACTATAAAAAAAATGAGACTCTAGAAAAAGTGCAGAGAAGAGCAACCAAGATGATTAGGGGACTGGAGACTAAAACATATGAAGAATGGTTACAGGAACTGGGCATGGCTAGTCTAGTAAAGAAATGGAACAGGGGAGACATAATAGCAGTCTTCCAATATTTGAGGGGCTGCCACAGAGAGGAAGGGGTCAAGCTATTGTCTAAAGCACCTGTAGGCCAGACAAGGAATAATGGATGGAAACTGATCAAAGAGAGATTCAACCTAGAAATAAGGAGAAACTTTCTGACAGTGAGAACAATCAACCAATGGAACAGCTTGCCTTCGGAAGTTGTGGGAGCGCCATCACTGGAGGCTTTCAAGAAGAGATTGGACTGCCATTTGTCAGAAATGGTGCAGGGCGGGGGTTTGGACTAGATGACCTACAAGGTCCCTTCCAACTCTGATTATCTGTTATCTGTCATGTGTGCTGTGTTTTGCTCCTGGGTTGTCTCATAATAGCAGCCACGCTGCAAACGCTCTGACACACAAGCTAGAAAAAGCAACCATGGGATTTCTTACCTTTGTCAAGTATAACCAGGAGAGGAGCCAGAAGGTCACACATTCCTTGGACGTATCCTACTTCCAAATGTTCCCAAACATAGCTGCAACAGCAAAAAGAGAACAAATGTATCTTCAGCACATTGTGGCTCATTAAAATATGGCTGCTCCTTATTTTCTGTGCATTTAAAAGAACTCAGAATGTCATTGGCACCAAAATGAATCAGGAAGACCCTTTTTTTATGAGATTGGTCCACCGCATGAAACTCCATGGCCTTCACAGAACCTCGCAAAATTAAAGATAGCACAAGCAGCAAATATCATCATTAATTAAAATAGTAAAAGCCCAACCCCTTTTCCCCAAATGAGGCACTAAAATTAATGAATTAAAAATTGTTTGGTGTGGCACCACTAAGGCCTACCCAAAGGTGCTTTTTTCAGGAGGCAACTGGACTTTCTTGTTTTCTTTGAAGACGTTTCTCTCTCTCAGAGCTGGAGAAGCTTTCTTGGATGAGAAGCAAAACGTTTTTTTAACAAAAACAAGATGGTCCAGTTGTCTCTTGAAAAAGCACCTTTGGGACAACCATGACCTGGATGACTGAGAATCTCCATATACTTAGGCCTACATAATTCTTGTCACCTGCTCCTAGAGGGAAATGAGTCACCTATCTAATCTATCTATCCATCCATCTCTATCTATCTATCTATCTATCTATCTATCTATCTATCTATCTATCTATC